TGAAAATACACCCTGCATATCAGATATTTACATTAATATTCATAACAGTAGCAAAATTACAGTTATGAAGTAGCAACAAAAATAATTTTATGGTTGGGGGTCACCACAACATGAGGAACTGTATTAAGGGGTCGTGGCATTAGAAAGGTTGAGAACCACTGATCTATGATAAGGCAACCAGAATGGTTGGGTAGAAAAAAAAATTATATTGATGTTATTATTATTTTTGGAATATTGGGAAAAATTATATATTTAATTATTATCTATGAAAACAATAAGAATTGTATTAACTCAATGTTTGCAAAAGAGGATATTTTGGGAAAAGAGGAAATCAACTAAAATCATTATGTGGATTAAGGATTATAGAAATCAATTGTTAATGATTGTTTTACAAATGTAACCCAGACAACATACTGTTCACCAATTATTAAGTGATTTATGTTTTTAAAAAATTAATAAAATATATTACAAAAATAAAAAATAAAAACTGATCCCTGGTTCAGGGACAATAGATCACTATTAACCTATCGAAATGGGCTAGCCTGGAAGGGAACTAAGCTGTACCTTTTGACTTGCCTCAGAATTCAAGCCCTTCAATGTGTCATGATGCCAAGCAAATGGGTCATTTTGGTCTCCTAAAAACTTTGCATTTGTTGCAGCAGCAGTTTTGGTGGCCAGGAATGAAAAAGGACATTGAAAGTTATGTAAAAAGTTGAGCTACCTGTGTAGCTATGAAAAAACTGCCCTGGTGAGACTGCTGGTCTGTTGCAGCAGGTAGCAGATCCTTCCCAACACTGGGAAGACAGCCATGGATTTTATTGTGGAATTGCCCAAAAGCAGAGGAAACACAGTAATTTGGACTTGACCTTTTTTCAAAGCAAGCTCATTTCATCACTTGTTTGGGGCTTCCGTCTGCCCCAAAATTAGCCAGGCTATTTTTGAAGCATATCTATCAACTCCATGGAGCTCCAAAAAGAATTATATGGGACGGGGGTGGGGGTGGGGAGGGATGTCAATTTACCACAAAGTTCTGGAAGGAGTTTGTAAAATTGATTGGGTCCACCCAAGGACTTTCATCTGCTCTTCATCTAAGTACAAAGGGATCAGCAGAACATCCAAATGCAATGGTAGAACAATACTTCAGATGTTATGTTAATTACCAACAGACTAACTAGGCAGACCTCCTACCTTTCGCCGAAGTGGCATACAACAATACAGTACACAATAGCACTAGATTTGTTCCCTTTAAAATAGCTACTGGTCGTGATTTTGTTCCGATGCCCAAATATCCCCAGGAGGCTCCCACTTCGCAGACCCTCGATCAGTGGGTGACCTCTTTGCAGAATGTTTGGGCAAATATAAAAAAAGCTTTAGCTCAAGCTGCTGAGACTTATAAAGAGCAAGCTGATAAGAAACGATGTCCCCAGAGGCCATTCCATGTGGAAGAGAAAGTTTATCTTTCTACAAAATACTTAAGACTAAAATTGCCTAGCAAAAAATTAGGGCCTAAGTTTCTCGGTTCTTTCCCTGTAGTCAAAATCATAAATCCTGTCACAGTTGAATTAAAACTCCCATTGCTTTTAGGGAAAGTTCACCCCATTTTCCATTGTACTTTGTCAAAGCCAGTCACAGAGTCATCCTTGAGACCCATTCCCAAGAAGGCACTTGGTCCTGTTCTCGTACAAGGAGAAACCCACTATGAGATAAAACACATTCTTGACTCTAGATTGTATAAAGGAAAATTACAATATTTAGTGCAGTGGAAAGGTTACCCCTTGTCAGAAGCTACCTGGGTGAAAAATACCAATGTGAAGACAGAAAGGTTAATAAGGTTTTATGACAAGCATCCTCAGAAATCCAGGGGGATTCCTAACTTGTATTTTTGTTTCTTCTGTAGGAATTGCTTTCTTCTTAGAGGGGTCTGACTGTCAACTCTACAACAAACCTGGTTGCAGCCATCTTGTTCATTTTATGTTGCCATGTGAATGGGAGGGAGTGCAGAGAATTTTTGCTAGTCTAAACAATTTTGTGTCCAATGGGAACCAAGGTCATTCGGTTATGCTAGAGGGTGGACGGGGTGTTAGAAAGTCCACCAAACTATTCTATTGGGAAACGTAATTGATTGCATAGCACTGGGGTGGGAAGTTTGACTTTGTAATAGTGTAACTCTTTGCAGGGAATTTTAGACTTGGTTTCACTTTTGACCATGCTGATATTTTGTATCCAATAAACATGTTCTTCGGGGAAGTCGCTAGCCTCAGGGTTCTGATTTATTTGGCACTATCTATCAGAACCATGACATACTAGTTATGATAATTTAATGGTACAATTAGAATGAAAGAAAATAAATTCTAAAATAGGATTCTTCAAATGTTCAAAAGAGATACTTCACAAGACACAAAGATAAATGAAGCACCTCTCATTGAATCATGAAAGAGGTGAATCTTTTGCAAAGCTTGGACAACTGCTTCAAAAATTGTCTTGACTGTGAGAGGGCATGTACAGCCACTTCATAAAGGGCAGTGTCACAAGACATTGTGAAAGATAAACTAACTATATACTCTCTAAACTACTAACTTCAGCTCTGATTATTTCAGTTCATTATTAAATTATGAACCTAATCTAAAATATGAAATTTAAAATTCCAGAAAAGCAAGTAGGCCAGGATAAATATTCAGTTCTATGGAACAATTTTTTCTATTTTAAAATGTTCCATTTTATAAAACTAATTAGCAGTCTAAAGAATGATAAGAAAAATAAAGTTAGCGATCAGAAGGAATATTAATTAAAAGATAATGTTCTCATAGATTTAATCAGAAATGCTTATTTATACAGGTAGACTTTGATTTACAACTATTCCTTTAGTGACCATTTGAAATTACAATGGCACACAAAGAAGTGACTTATAACCAATCCTCACACTTATAACTGTCACAACATCCCTATGGCCATTTGATCAACATTTGGGCACTTGGCAACTGCCATGTATTTGCGATGGCTGCAGCATCCCAGGGTCATATGATTGCCAAGCTGCTACTTTTTCAGCCAGCTCCCAACAAGCAAAATCAATGTGGGAAGCTGAATTTATCAATCATGTGATTCACTTAAGAAGTGCAGTCATTTGCTTAATAACCATGGTAGAAAAGACTGTAAAATCAAGTGTGATTCACTTAATGGCTTTCCTTAGCAATGAAAATTATGGTTCCAATTCTCATCATAAATCAAGAACATTCATAAGTTTAAATGTGAATTTTTTAGTAACTAATTTTCTACCTTAAATTGTTAACTTGTAGAGAGGTTCATGCTATTGATTTTTATATAAAGATATTTGTATATATTCAGATAAACCAATTCCAATAATTGAATTAATTTGAATGGAACATTTAAATAACATGTTTTTCCTCTGAATCTTTTTGTTCATATGGTTTTGGCAAATAATTGTTACACTAAAAGTTAGCATGACATTTTAGTTTTGTTTATTTCCATAGAGTGGAACAAATATCAAATTTTCCATCATTTCAGGAAGTAGAAAATTGCCAAAAACATTCCACAAAGTTTATGTTGCCATTAATATCAAATCTCTGAATCTATTATTTTCAATATATTTAACAGGAAGAAGTTACCAAGTTACATGCACATTATATCTGTGTAATAATCCTAAGAATAATGCTATTTGTTAGGCAATTTAATAACCTCATTCAATAAGTTTCCATAAAGACATGGAATAGAGTCTGTACAGAAACAAGGACTAGTGGATGAATCTTACAAAAAGACAGTGTAAGGACCCACCCCATTTTGCATCTTAAGAAGACAGAACTCTTGGAATAATTCTTCCAACAGGAATCCTTTATTAAGAAGAAGTGGTTGCAGGCGTGCTAGACAGGACTTGGGGTCCAAGCTCTCCCATTCAAGGTTTTAAGGGGTTCCCCAGCAGTCCCACCCAATCACCCCCCTTCCAGTGATAGTTTCAGGCATCACAATTCCACCCCTTTGTTCCTTTCTTCCGTCTGGATGGAGACTTCAGATAAACTACATGAAAGGTAAATAGCCCCCTTTGTTATGGTAAGGTTCTTTGGTGCTATTTACATTCAAACTCTTTGAGGTTGCAATAAACACATTCAATTCCTTAGAAGTATACTGAAGGAAGTGAGGGCCATAAAGCCCCTTTGTTCTCCCCCTTCTCTCCCTCTTATGGCAGAATCCAGAGAAGGCAGAATTGGGGTTTTCTATATTTGATGATTAAAGATGAAATATAATTGGATTCTGACAGACAGAAGCCAAATTTGTTAAGTGACAAAACCCACTCATTAATATACAGTTTACATTATAAATTAGATTTTGTACTGAAAGAATCTCCAACATTTCTACCAGCAAATAAATCAGAACAGCAAAATTCTAAATACCATTTTTTTATGTATGAAAATAACAAATCTAGCAACTACTCCAAAGTAAGCAATACCAGCACATAAGTACAGAAAATCTTACAAAAACTTTGCTATAGTTTCACTTTAATAATGACAACTTCAGAAAATATCTATTGTAAGACTGTCATTATTTATTTTATCAAATTTAGGTATTGCTCATCTCCCTGACTGTCTCTTGAGTGCTTTACAGCTAAAGCACAAAAATCATACAAAAATGCAATACATTAGTAAAATTGGAACCAGATAAAAAAAACAAAGAATAACTTAAATATTAGAAAGGTGGGGAGAGTGTCTTCAAGGCACTAACTATTCCTAGGGTTGTATGACACTCTGCGACCTCCACACGAGTTGGCAGGATAGTGAGTCTGCCTCACCTCAGGGGGAGGTGGAGAATATTCCAGAGCGCAGGGTCCTGGAAGAAAAGGCTCTTACAGGACCCTGCCTGTTAAAATGTTTTAACTGATGTGGTTGATAACATACCATCCCTACCTGATGAGGTGAGATTAGTAACTTATCTGGAATTGAATCCAGAAGCAAACTGGCACCCAACTTCAGCTCACACAACAAAGGTATTACCTGTGCCATCCTTGGGGCCCCCGAAATACATTTTGCACCATCTGACCCTTCCAGATACTCTTCAAGGATGGCACCATGCAGAGCACACTGCAATAGTTCATATAGGATAAGGGTGTCAAACTCTATTTCATTGAGGGCTGCATCAGCATTGTGGTTGCCCTCTGGTAGCAGGGGGCATGGCTGGGTGGCATGGCCGGCTCAACATAGCTCGTGTTGGGTGGTGCCTGTGGAGGGGTGAGGGGGGCTGTGGGGCAATCTGGGAGTCTCTGGCAGAGGGGGATGGGACTGGGGCAGGCGCTAGGGCCTAGTCCACTGGAGGAGCCTCATTGTCCCTCTCGGGCCACACGGGGATCCCCAGATGGCAGCGCAGGCTCCTCCAGCAGCTGCCCGGCCTTCAAGCTTCCAGGGCGCTGGGACCCCGCAACCTGGCTCGGCACCACTTTCCAGAGGGTGCGTCCAGACATGCGTGGGGTAGCTCCGGGGCTGGGCTCAGGTGAAGGGAGAGGGGAGTCCCAGCTGCCTCTTAGGGATGGAGGGTTCCCTGCCCTTCCTGTTTGCCAGGATCATTGGGGTATGCTGGCAGGCGGAAGGCTCGTCCTGCATGTGCTAGAGGACAAAGTTGGACGGCAGGGCCCAAGTGGACGGGGATGCAGTGTGGCGGTGACAGCAATCCGCTGGGCTACCTCACTGAGGCTGCGTCTTTGCTTGCCCATGCCTGCCATGGTTGGGTGGGGCAGGCAGCCAGCTGCTTGGCAGGTCTGGCAGGCTGGATCGCATGCCTCCCCCCCGTGCCTCTGTCTGCACCTGCTGCTTGGAGGGCTGGCCCAGTGGCCAAAGGGCTCGAACCCACCTGCACTGCATGGGGTGTGCGATTCTGGGATGTGCTGACCAAGGGGCTGGCGGGCTGCAGCTGCTGCCAGGCACTGCCAGTCCTTGCATACTCGCCTCCTGTGCCCACGCTCGGGGGGACGCCCAGCTGGGTTGGCCAGGGCCGCAGGAGGCGGTCCCTTGCTGTTTCTGGGGCAGCCCTGTGGGCTGGATCTGGGCCCATTGCAGGTAGGATCTGGCCCGCGGGCCTTGAATTTGACATGTCTGATATAGGAAACGACCAGGGCACAAGAATTTCTTTTGACTATTACTTTTCAAAGGCCATAAATGGAGTGCATTCCTTCAGCATCTTCATAGTTATATGACTGGGAAAAAAGTATTTCAGTTGATTAACTTAATGACCTAATACATTCAATAGAAGACAGATATGTCTGCAATCTGCAGTTAAGAAGCTATATTCACCTCCTCTTGGTTAAAAAGATCAGGTCATTAATGAGTTATGGAACTATATAATGAACTGAAATTTTTCGTTTTCAGTTCTGCCTCTGGCTTGTAGAATATTGTCAAAAAACAAGATGAGAGAACTTCTCTTTTTGCTTTAAGTTTTTTTGCATTAGCATAGGGTTGCCAGATCTGAGCTGTAGAAAGTCCAGGTGACTACTTTAAGTTGACAACAAATATATAGACAAAAGCACAATTTTTGCAGCCCTGATATGGTAGCCTTGCATTAGAATCTCAGGATCAATAATAAATATCAGAGAGGCTTATAGCAGACTATAACTGGGTTGACTTTACAGCAAAGTATCTGTAAGAAAAATATTCTATGAAATTGTATAACTTCTTTTTACTTCCAAAGATGTGACACTAAAATAAGTATATCCAGAATTTACAAAATTGCAGAATTGCTGTATAGAAAGGGCAAGCTTTTCCCATGAACGTCAATTGCTAGGAAACCCTAAATCACTGGTTCTCAATCTTTCTAATGTCGCGACCCCTTAATACAGTTCCTCATGTTTTGGTGACACCCAACCATAAAATTATTTTCGTTGCTACTTCATAACTGTAATTTTGCTACTGTTATGAATATTAATGTAAATATCTGATACGCAGGGTGTAATTTCATTGTTACGAAGTGAACATAATTAAAGCATAGTGATTAATCACAAAAACAATATAGCAATGCTTGCTGGAGAAGCTTACTCTTCCTTGCTCAAAAATGTTGGGAGGGAGGGAAGGGGAAGGAAGATTGAAGGGGAAAGGAAGGAGATTGAAGGGGAAAGGAAGGAGATGGAGAAGGAAGGAGATTGAAGGGGAAAGGAAGGAGATGGAGAAGGAAGGAGATTGAAGGGGAAAGGAAGGAAGGAAGATTGGAGCGGAAAGGAAGGAGATTGAAGGGGAAAGGAAGGAAGGAAGATTGAAGGGGAAAAGAAGGAGATGGAGAAGGAAGGAAATTGAAGGGGAAAGGAAGGAGAAAGAGATTGAAGGGGAAGGATGGAGATGGAAGGAAAAAAGGAAGATTGAAGGGGAAAGTAAGGAGATGGAGAAGGAAGGACATTGAAGGAGGAAGGAAGGAAGGAGAAAGAGATTGAAGGGGAAGGGATGGAGATGGAAGGAAGGAAGATTGAAGGGGAAAGGAAGGAGATGGAGAAGGAAGGAGATTGAAGGGGAAGGAAGGAGAGAGATTGAAGGGGAAGGAAGGTAGGAAGGAAGGAAGGAAGGAGATTGAAGGGGGAAGGAAGGAAGGAAGGAAGGAGAGAGAGATTGAAGGGAAAGGGATGGAGATGGAAGGAAGGAAGGAAGATTGAAGAGAAAAGGAAGGAAAGAAGGAAGGAAGGAAGGAAGGAAGGGGAGAGAGAGATTGAAGGGGAAGGGATGGAGATGGAAGGAAAGAGGGAAGGAAGATTGAAGGGGAAAGGAAGGAGATGGAGAAGTAAAGAGATTGAGGAGGAAAGGAAGGAAGGAAGCAAGGAGAGACTGAAGGGGAAGGGAAGGAGATGGATGGATGGATGGATGGATGGATGGATGGATGGATGGAAGGAAGGAAGGATTGATCCATCTTTGGAGAGTCATGTTTTTCCAGATGGTGATGAACTGCAACTCCCAGCATTCCCCACTCTTCCACAGTGCTTTTTAGGGCTGCTGGGGATGGTAGTCCAGTAAGGTCTGGAGACACACAAAGATGCCCTCTGATGGTGAGGGAGGCAGGCCGGGTGGCACAGGGGAGGCTCCGGCACAGCACGGAGGGTGGCCGGGGGCGAAGCACAGCCGGGCAACCAGAAGGTGTGGGGATCGGCTCAGCGCCGCAGCTCAGCTCAGCCACCAGTAGCAGCAGCAGCAGCAGCACGTTGCCCAAGCAGGGTGGGAAGACAGGGTGTGGTGGTGGCAAATCATGAAAGCAGCGTGCAAACTCCTTGGACCGTTTGGCTCCCCCACCCCTTTATTTATTGATCTGCCACAAGCTCGTGCAAACAAGCCCCAAGGAGTTCTGAATGAGCGGTCGTTTAAAAAAAAAAAAGCTTTCAGCAACGAGGCAGAAAGGAGAACTTGCTCACGCTCTTTTTTTTTCCCCTTTCTCGGTGACTGGGAAGGCAGTCTCTTTCCTCTCTTTCCTCTTTCTCTGTTTCCTCCCTCTTTCTCTTTCCTCTTTCGTTTCCTCTGTTTCTCTCTTTTTCTCTGTCTTACTGCAGTATCGTCGGGGGTCCCCACCGCCCCTGGCCTCTGCGCGTCCTCAGCCGAACAGGCAGGGAGGGGGAGCAGGACAGGAGGCAGCGGCTCTGACGGCAGTGACAGGGCAGCATCGTCGGGGTCCCTGCCGCCCCCAGCCTGAACTCTGCCCCCGCTGGGACTTCGCGCTACCCGGCTTCGCCCTCCACCCATTTATGGAGCTGCGGTGGAGGCAGTGCCCACCTGAGCCACCTGGGGGGGCAGCAGGAGGAAGGAGAGGAGGAGGGCGAGGAAGCAATCACCCTAACTGGGACTCCGCGCTGCCCGGCCTCGCCCTTCGCCCATCCAATGGAGTCGCGGTGGGGGCTGGTGCTGCATGGCCCCTGCCAGCCCCTCGTCCAGCCCAGCTGCTCCCCCCCAGGCACCCCTCTTGTCCCGGTGCCCGCCCGAGCCACTTCGGGGGCAGCAAGAGAAAGAAAGGGAGGAGGAAGGTGAGAGCAATGAAGCCGCCGCCAGCACTGGGCCCCAGGAGGCAGCTGTCCTCTCCTACCTTTGCTACATCTCCTTCTTCCTTCCCAGCAGCCTGGATTCCGGTGCACCTTCCCGGCCAGCAGGTCCAATGGTCAGGCTGGCTGGGGATTGCAGGGGCTGGTCTCGCTTGGGCCGCAGCTTGTGGGAGGGCTGCCCCGCTCAGCGGAGCCTCCAGTGGGCCGCTCTCAGCAGGGATCCCAGGGCTTCCCCGGGTGGCTCCAAGCAACGAGGCCCTGGCCACGCTTCTCCCAGGCGTGGGGCACCCGGGTGCACGGCCAATCAGGAGCCTTGCAGGAGGTAAGTCTGCCTGAGAGAGAGAGAAGGGAAGCTAAAGTGCCTCTCTCTCTCTCTCTGCAAGTGGCGGAGGAGGCCGTCCGGAGACAGATGCGGAACAGTGTCTCAGTTCCTAAGATCATCAGAAATATGTGTTTTCCGATGATCTTAGGTGACCCCTGTGAAATGATCGTTCGACCCCACAAGGGGTTGTGACCCACAGGTTGAGAACCACTGTCCTAAATGTTCACAGAAGACTCCTCTAATGCAGGGCTTTTCAACGGGTGGTACACATACCACCCGTGGTACATTAACACATGGCAGGTGGTACACAGCCCGGCCTAGTCAAGTGTAGTGGGGGAGGGAACGAGCCAGCACAGGCAAGGACAGTAAGTGAGAGAGTCCTCTGGAGATGCAGAGTAGCTGGAGCGAGGCAAAGGCACCAGGCTCACTTCCAGCTCACTCAGAAGAGAAAGGAGGAGGAGGGGGCAGAGACAGGAGAGGCTATAAAAGGAGGCAGTTTGGGCGGGAGAGGGAGAGAGAAAAAAAGCAGCAGCCTTGGGAGGAGGCAGTCAGCTTTAGCTGCACCAAAGGGAAAGAAGGAGGAGGAGGGTGGGGGCAGAGGCGATCAAGCAGGCAGACCATGAGCTGATCTACAACTGCTGTGGCAGCCACCTGTGCAGCAGCAGCAAACAGGCAAGAAATGCAGTCGGGGAGGGGTCGCCCTCCAAGAGGGATGAAAAAAGGCAGCATCTGCTGGAGGTGAGGCATGGAGGATGGATGGAGGAAGA